TTGTTGCGGAAAGTCAGCAGAAGCAGACACCCACTGACCCGGCACAGACAGGACTGCTGGAGCGAAATGCAGAGGGGCCTACAAGGCTCTTGGTTAAGCCACTGTTAGCATGGCAACGAGCTAAATCTGGAAGTGGGAGGGAATGTTTACCATTGGAATCACCAAAATGTGCTTTAATTGGTGAATGTTAATGGACCTTCAGTGTTGCGGGGATGGGGGGTGTCAAGCAATGGGAGCAAGGACATGGTTTGTCTGGAAGGCACCAGCTTTACCAAGATAGCTGCTACTCCTGCTGTCTCCTGGGACTCCAGGGGTCACCATGATCATCAACTTGAGCCTAAAGGTGGTCTGGCCTGCGAGAGAGCAGGCTCTGAGAAGGCCTCATTACAAGAGCTGGACAGATAATTGATTTTTTGTTTCACTGGCAATTCCCCCCCCCCACAAAAAAAGATTCATTGCAGGTTGAATTGAAAATCACGTTTTTCAAAAAAAAATTGGAAGTCAAAAATCCCAAACTCAGTGCCAGACAAAACCCAGAGTGAATGATTTGAGTTCTAGTGGAGCACAAATTGAACAAGCATCAAAATGTGATGCAGTTGTGAAAAAGGTGACTATCATTGTGGGGGGCTATTAACAGGCGCTCATTGGCCCACTCTGCTCGGCACGCGTGAGGCCTCAGCTGAGGGCCGTGTCCGGTTCTGGGTGCTGCACTTTAAGAACAAGGTGGGCAAACTGGAGACGGTCCAGAGGAGAGCAGCAAAAATGATCAAAAGTTTAAAAAACCCTGACCTCTGAGGCAAGGTTAAAAAAAGGAATATTTACTTCTTGAGAAAAGAAGACTGAGGGGGGAATCGGATTTCAGTCTTCAACTATGTTAAGGCGGTTCTAACGAGGACTGTAATCAATTGGTCTCCATAGCCACTGAAGGTAAGACAAGAAATAATGGGTTCGATCTCCCCCACGCTAGCGCCGAAGCTGGTGGAAGCTCAGTGTTGCTGCCAGCCAGAGGCCAGTGGGCCGACGCTGGGGGCGGCCCGGCGCAGCGGGTGGCCGACTTGAGCAGGTGCTGAGGCTATCCAGTGACCTGGCGCTCAGGTCAGCCAGTAGCCCAGAGCTAGAGCGGATGCTGAAGCTGGCCGGCAGCCCAGTGCTGGGGGTGGCCCGGGATAGTTTGGCTGGGGCTTCTCTGCCCAAGGGGGGTCGAGGGTGGGCGCTCAGGGCTCTGGTGGATGGAGGGGGGGTGGCCACTGGGGTCTCCAGCCGACGGGGCGGTAGGGGCTAGCCGTCCCAAAGGGGGGGGGGCTCACGCCCCGCCCATGATCTGCAGCAAGGGAGATTTAGGTTAGATATTAGGAAAAGCTTTCTAACAATAAGGCTAGTTAAGCTCTGGAATACGCTTCCAATGGATGTTGTGGAATCCCCGTCACTGGAGGTTTTTCAGAAAAGGCTGGTCAAACACCTGTCATAGGTGCTCTAATGTAACACCGACAGAGCCTGGTCATTAGTGGTCAGGATTGAACCTGGGACCTCTAGAGCTAAATGCAGGAGCCTCACATGGCTCTTAGCTAAGGCGGTAGAGCAGACGCATTAATCTCTAAGTGGTCTCGGTGCCTCTAGATGGGACAGAGCACCACACCCAGGAGGTGTGTGGGTTACACTAGCACAGGGGGCCTTGGTGACTTCTCAAGGGTCTGTTCCACCCCTGCATTTCTATGATTATGGATTGCCACCATGGATGTCACTGAACCAGGGAAAGGCAATGAGAATGACTCTACAGCCTGGTGGTAAGGTTGTGCTTGCCTAGGATGTGGGAGACCCCAATGCTCCAATGACTATGTAATTATTTATATAAAGTGGAACAACTACAACATGTGAGCCTGAGAAAGTACCACGTCAGAATGCCTGCTACAACCCAATGAATATGGCACTTTCTGCTAATGTGAGAGCCTCCCGTTCAAATCCCTGCTCCATGTCAGACAAAAGGGAACCGAACTTTGGTCTTCCCCCATCCCACATGAGTACCTTACCCCTGGGGTAAAGTTTAGACGTGCAGCAGCAGCACCGTCTGCTCCAGCTGGGTTGTGAATCTAGTCCCCCTTCCTTTGCGTTAGTCAAAAATGCCTGAAATTGAAGCAAAACATTTTGAGTTGAGTTGAAACAGAATGTACCCTTTTGACATTACCAAAATGATTTTTTTTTTTTTTGGTTCAGTCAAAACTATTTTGCAACCTTGACAAGAATTTTGCAGTTTTTGGCAAATAAACTATTTGCTAGAATTTTTTTACCCCGCTCTAATTGCTGCCTCCCACGTCTTTGGCTAAATCCTGAGATGTGAGACTTAGATTTCTTGCTGTCACCCCCTCGCCATCATGTGTCATTTCCTTTCCTCTCGGTTTGACTCCTCTTTTCCCTTTCTCACCTTTTACGTTCTGTGTAACAAGTCTGGCTGAGCCACCGGGACAAGCCCCCCTTTTTGAGCGGAGAAGCAGCAACAAGCAATGCCTTGAATAGCTCAATGCCGGTTCAAATTTGCCAGGTCTCGCAGTGCCTGATCCCACACTATCCTGGGCCTATGTTTCTCCAGCAGTGAGGCTGCAAGTGAGAGTCCGCACAAGGGAGAGAAGCTGCATGGTCTCTCTTTGCTTTTTTTTCCTCTCCCTATTCATGTGTGACTGTCTTGTTTTGTTTTAAAGGAAAGAGTCCAGTTATGTCTACACTGGAGCCCTTACAGCGGCACAGGTGAACCAATACAGCTATGCCGTTGAGATTCCACCAGCAGCAACAACAGCTCCAGACCATGCTAAACCAACCTTTTCTCCCCCCTGCCAAAGCACAGGCATCTTTAAGGCAATCTAAAAGACTGCATGGAGTGTTGATGTAGCTGTGTTGGTCCCAGGACATTAGAGAGACAAGATGGGGGAGGGAATATCTTTCATTGAACCACTGCTGTTGGTGAGCTAGACAAGCTTTCAAGCTACACAGCACAGTTCTTCAGGTCCGGGAAAGGTACTCAGAGGGCTTATCTACACTTAAAACACTGCAGCTGTGCCACTGGAGCGCCTCGGCGAAGATGTTATTTACACCTACGGGAGGGCTTCTCTAGCTAGCGCTATCTACACCGGGGGTTAGATGCGTTTATCTGCATTGCTTGGGAAGTGGATATTTCACTCTCCTGAGCAATGTAATTATACTGACCTAATTTCCAAGGCCTGGTCTACACTACAGCGTTAGGTCGACACAAGGCAGCTTATAGTGCTCTAAATATGTAAGTGTCTACACTAAAATTTTGCTCCCGCTGGCGTAACTGCCCCGCTACGCTGACTGAATAACTCTATCTTCACGAGAGGCGGAGAGTCCAGTTATGTCTACACTAGAGCCCTTACAGTGGCACAGATGAACCAATACAGCTATGCCATTGTAAGATCTCTCACGTAGCTGCTCTGAGCCGACAGGAGAGAGTGCTCCTGTCAACGTAATTACACCTCTCCTAACAAGCAGCGGTAGCTAGGCCGGAGAGAGAAGCTCTCCTGCTGACATAACGCTGTGCACACTGCCACTTATGCTGCTGAAATTTATGTTGCTCAGGCAGGCTTTTTTCACACCCCCTGAGCATCACAACTTTTGCCGACATAAGTGGTAGTGTAGACATGGCCTCAGTGTCGATGTAGTTAGGTCGATGCAGCATTAATGTAGACGTTGCTTATATCGACTGTTAACTGGCTTTCAGAAGCCATCCCATAATGGCCCATGCGACAATACAAATAACACAAGCTCTCCTGCTGAGGGTGCACACTGCTGACACAAGGAGCAAAATGTAGACATGCACAATCAATGTAATTACTGCAGTGTCTGTATGGGGACCTAAGTTAGGTTGACTTAATTGTGTCGTGTAGACATTCCCCTAGTGTAGGCCAGGCCAGAGTGTTATAGCTAAATACAAGATAGAATGAATTGTGAGCATAAGTAGTTAACACATATTTCACGGACCATTCAAGGTGAGGTGGCCCTTTAACACCCTTCCAGTCATAACGGGGGAAGGAGGGGGAAAAAAACTGGCGGGGGGGAGGGTTGTTAGTAGGTTATAAATTCTTGTAATAAGCCATAAATCGAGTATCTGTATTCAGTTCATGACTTTTTGGGCCTAGCAAAGTTATGAATTTAAGCTCCCAAGCTTGTCTTTTGAAGGTGTTGTGCAGGTTTCCTTTGAGGATGAGGGCTGAGAAGTCAGATAGGGAGTATTCTCTTTGTGAAAAGTGTTCCCCCACAGGTAATAATAATGTGTTTACGTCTTTTATCATTTTTTCTGTTGTGAATTCATTTGAGAGCACTGTGATTCTCGTTTCACCCACATAGTTGTTGTTCGGGCATTTAGTGCATAAAAATGAGGTACACCACCTGTTGTGATAGGCATGTGTGTACTGATGGATTTTGCAAGGTGTGTTGCGGGTACGGGGGTGTTGATCATCGTAGTAGTAGAAATATGTCTGCAAGTTTTGCCTCTGTTGTTCTGACAGGGTCTGGTGTTGCTTTGAGTTGGTATCCTGGTCTAGAAGATTGTCAAACAGGCATTTTTCCCTATAAAAAGCTCTGGCCAGTCAAAGAGAAAGGGAAAACTATATTGTCAAAATAGAAGATTTGCTTAATACTTACATTTAAAAAGTTTTAACTTTTTCTGTGTCTGTAATATAATAAAATAATAATAACAACAATAATTGCTGTTATAAGAATTTGAAAAGGTTTTTTTCCCCTTTGGATTAATATTTCTAGATATTCTAAGTAATATGGTATTGTGCTTTTTTAATTAATCTCAACAGGACATTACTTTTTTAAAGCAGATTTTAAGCTATTTATCTTTAAATTTTTATCTTTTTTATTCTTTGATTAATGCTTGACAAGTTTAATTTAAAGGAGGCTTTTACGGCAATTTATACTTACAAAAATATCTGTGCCTTTATTTCAGATGCACCTTGAATCTTAGCAATAAATGAAGACATACTAAATCATATTTTAATATGATTTTTATTTATTTTAATGAACAATTAGATAGTTTGAAAACTGCTATCAGCTCATGAGGGTAGAGCATCCACCAGTTGTAATATGTAAAAAGTAAGGATTACATAGGGAAAAACACATTTAAGCTGGAAAATTCTTCCCAGACTTTCCGGTGGCTGGCAGCTAAAACTGAATGGCTGGAGCCTACAAAGAAATACACACATGCACTCATGTGAGTAATTCCATATGTTGCACCAGGACAATGCATGTGAATAAAATTTCATGTGCATAAGTATTAATGAATTAATGTAATTAATATATTAATAACCATTAATGTATTAATGGATACTTTTTCTGCTGTCTTACTCAGTTCAACCAATGGAATTGCAGTATGCAAATGAGGCTAGGCAGGGCAATGATTGGTGGAGTTACCTCTGATGTCACAATAAGGTTTGACTATCTTGGGTGTTTTTTGCATTGGTGCAGCTACAAGGGTGCAATCCCATGGTGCTGAAGGGGTATAAAAAGTGACTTGCACTGATGTGGGTAAACTCAGTTTGCTCGTCTGTCACTTGGGAACAGAATGGGGCTTGTAACACAATATTGCGCAGTTGTGTTTCCATATAGAGGCAGGAGATTGTATGGGCGCATACCCCCCCCAATTAATTATGATGAGATCTGTGGCAAGAGAGGGAGAGTGTGTTTGAAGAATACAGATTTTGTCATTTTTATCATTTATAGTCAAACAGGAACCAGAGTCTGCCTGGACTCCCGGCTGCTGGAAGGAGAACAACAGTTTCCCCCCTTTTCAGCAGCCACAGTTTGGTTTGCTGATGGTGGGGAAGATGTGGAGGCATTGTCTTTTTTCATGATTGCTTGTCCTCTGGGTTTGCACCTGAATGCGAGGAAACTGCCTGTTGTGTCTGGAGAATCAGGAGAAATAACCAGGGTCGTGCTGCAGCAGGAGATCCGGGTGGGGTTGGTTCCAGATATCCCAGATCCGGGGGGGTTGGAGCAGTTTTCAGCATCTGCATAGCTCTTGTCTTGGAGGGCAGAACTATTGTGCACAAAACATTGCTCAGAGAAAAGCTCATCCGTGTAAGAAATTAAGTGCTGGGACCCTCCATAGCAATCTGTCATTAGCTCAGTAAGTGTCCATGTGGAAATGCCCACACCTTTGCTATGTATCCTTCAGCCAAAGCGTTCACACTTGGGTGCCTAAAGAAATGGGCTGATTTCCAGAGGTGCCGAGACCTTTTGCTTCAGTAGCACACCAGATTTAGATGTGTAAATATGGATTTAGGCGCTGTGGCCTTGCTGCACAGCTGGTCCCTTCTAGACTGGGAAAGGACCAGTGCAGAGGTGCCTTATCAGTTAAGTTTAAAAGCAAAACCCTGGGGACCAGCATGGTTGTGATGCTGCAAATTCACTTGCTGCGTGTTGCATCCCTCCACCATCCTCTGTGGCTGTGAATGGTCTCTCAGCCTCACCTGGGTGCTGACGGAGCTTGGAGAGGTCACTCCTAACCTGCTCCAGAGGCAGTTTCTTAGTCTTGTCTAGTATCAGAGCTGGGCAAAAATTTCAATTTAAAATATCAGTAAACTCTCTAATTCTGATGGGAAAACCCCAGGAATTTGAATGTGAGATTTTTCTGCCCTTGATTTTCAACCAGCCAAGCTAGCAGAATCTACTGGCTCCAACCAACAGGATTGAAGTGGCAGGTCTCTGAGAAGTTTCTGATACAAGTTCTTATATGCTTAAGGGTTTGAATCTCTAAATCCCTGTTCGGGGGTTAGTGGGGAGGAATGTAGTAGGAGCTGCCACAAACCTCCAGCATCCGGTAGCACCAGGGCTTGCACTACTCTCTGGGGGAGGGGGACGTGTGGTATGACATCAGCCAGGCCAGCACCACCCACAACAAAGCACCTTATGTAGCACTCTGCGTGCCAGGCAGGGGCACAAATCATGATTTTATTTTCATGCAGGTTTGTTCAGAGGGCAGAGTCCTTACAGTGACATAATAACAGATGTTAAATACAGACAGGCCAAGGCTCTGCCTCGGTTATTAGACAAAGCCCTGGATGCTGTGTTTTTGCATTTCCAAAACTAGGAAGCTCTAAAGCAATGAGGACTGGATAGTCCTGGAAGTTCTCATCTCTTCTCTTTGCCCTCTGGAGTTTTCATTTTACCCACTATATGAATTGCCTTTCTAAGCAGCACTAAAGCAAGAAGCAAACAGTCTGCAAACGTGGCTGGACTGAGTCGTCATCCAGGAAATCGGCACATGCCAGTCCCAATGAGGAGCATGTGGTCTGTTGGCCAGCACTCGCTCTGCCCTTCATTGGCTCCACCCACTCACTCCCAGGAGAGCTGTGCTGGTAACTCACAAGGGGCGGAGACTAGATGAGGAAATAGGTCCAGGAAGAAGCTGCTTAATGCTATAGACAAAGGAACATCTTAAGGTTCTAATAAGCATCTGGGTACATTTCTGGGGATGCCTGCACTGCCGCATAGTCCTCTAGTCTAGAGGAAGCAGCCAGCGGGCTTCAGCTAGTGGAAGTTGGGATCATAAACCCCTCATTGGCAATTCCAGCACAGCTCACCGAAACCAGGAAATCAGACTTCTTTCTATGGCTTCTAGTATCTGACAAAATGGGAGGTGAGAAAAATGGGGGCCGCAGGGTGGCACAAATTGAGCCCTCTTATCTGGGCCGTTGTTGACGGCAAATGGGAGAGACTCCCAAGGGAATCCTGGCTGCTGTGGGAGGGCAGATTAAATGGGACACAGATAACTTCCAGGAGATTCTATTCTTGCGTTATCCAGTCCCGCTGCAGGATGTGTGGAGGAGACATGTCAGGGCTGATCCCATCAGCAGGCCAAGCACTGGGCACAAATGGGAGTGAATGGACCCTTTGGAGCCTTTCTGGTGGGTACCCAGGGCACTTGCAAAGCAGAAAGCTAGTACCAACAGAGAATTTGTTTTCTGCTATTCAAAAATAAATTATCTTCCAAAAGAGTTTTATACACACTATCCGGCAAGCTTGTTACAAGCCAAATGGTCCAGGCCTGGCTTGGATTTCTACCTCTTCTAGAGACCCAGTTTTCTCCAGGGTCTTTGTCAAAGGACAGAGGAATTGAGAGTGGTTCCTGTGCTGAGAAGTCATCGTGGTACCAAAGGGGTGCCTGCTCTCCTCCCCTCGCTGGGAGGCTGCTCAGGAGAAGAATAGCGTTGTTGGCTTTGGGGTGCTTTTTCTGGCTTAGCTGATGTTTTCTTTTGTTTGAGGCAGAAGCATGACGCTTGTTCACCCCTCATCCCAGGAGCACCTAAGGAGAGATCCAGAATGAGTCACAGCCGGGCAACCACCTGCAACAGCAATCACTTCGCGCCCAAACAGGGACTTGGTGAGTGGGTTTGAAAAGTGCTGTGTTCAGCACTTCCCACTGAGGACAATGGAGAGTCCCCTCCCCCCACAGAGAATCCCCCCTCTTCCCATGTAGAACCCCTATTCCCCCATGGAGTATCCCCCTGCCCCCAATGGATAATCCCCTTCTCGCCATGGAAAATCCCCCCACCCCCAATGGAGAATCCCCCTCCCTCCACAGAGCATCCACTGTCCCCAATGGAGAACCCCTCCCCCCCCCAAGGAAAATCCCCCTTCTTCCCATGAACAGTCCTCCCCACAGAAAACTCCCGATGCCCCCAGTGGAGACTCCCCCTCCCCCACCGAATGAGAAGTGGGGGCAAAAGACATATCTGGCTTCAAGACTAAGCTTGATAAGAGTATGGAGGGGATGGTATGATGGGATAGCCTAATTTTGGCAATTAATTGATCTTTGATTATTAGCGGTAAATATGCCCAATGGCCTGTGATGGGATGTTAGATGGGGTGGGATCTGAGTTACTACAGAGAATTCTTTCCTGGGTGTCCGGCTGGTGAGTCTTGCCCACATGCTCAGGGATTAGCTGATCGCCATCTTTGGGGTCGGAAAGGAATTTTCCTCCAGGGTAGATTGGCAGAGGCCTGGGTGTTTTTCGCCTTCCTCTGCAGCATGGGGCACGGGTCACTTGCTGGAGGATTCTCTGCACCTTGAGGTCTTCAAACCACAATTTGAGGACTTCAGTAGCTCAGACATAGGTTAGGGGTTTGTTCCAGGAGTGGGTGGGTGAGATTCTGTGGCCTGCGTTGTGCAGGAGGTCAGACTAGATGATCATAATGGTCCCTTCTGACCTTAAAGTCTATGAGAAGGAAGCTCCCCCCCACTTCTGACTCAGTGTGCACTCTTCTGCAGCAACTGGGCTGTGCTTAGAGGTTTGCCACTTAAGGACTAGTCTGGCTTGACTATGCTGTCATATGAAAGCTGACAGGGCAGCAGCTGGTGGTGATTGCCTGTAGGTGTGTAGACAAGGCCACATCTGGCTAGCCCTCCATGCCAGCACACCTTGTCTGCCCAGAACGGGGCAGATGTCAGCATTACAGAGCAGCATTGGAACCACAGTGTGGTGTTGGAAGCCTGCTGACTGCGCTGCCCATTCGGTGCCTATTCTGGGACTGGAGGCTTTGGTCTGTAGAGCTGTCAAATAATCCCTCTCCCCAGCTGCTCAGTGACCCCAGTGAGCCAGGAACTCGGGGACTGTCAGCCCCCCACAGCATGGAACAGGGAGATGCTGTCAGATGGGCTCCCCAGAGGAAGTGTGGCACTGCAGTGACTGGGGGTCAGCCTTTGCTAACTGGCTGCACTGGTACCAGCGCTCCATGTCTGTCCGCACTGCCTGTTTGTCCACACTGGTTCCTCACTCATTCGGGGAGATCCTGTTTCCCTCAGCCTTGTGGGGGATTGTGCCAAGTGTGCTGGGACTCACGGTGCTTGTGTGGTGACCAGGGCCAGCTCTGGCTTTTTTGCCGCTCCAGGCAAAAAAGCCTCCGGCCGCCCCCCCCCCCAGCGCGGCAGGGGAGGGCGGCCAGAGCGCTGGGGGAAGGCGGCCAGCCCGCTGCGGCTCCGCTCTCCCCGGCGGCCAGAGCGCCAGGGGAAGGCGGCGAGCCCGCCACGGCTCTGCTGTCCCCGGCGGCCAGAGCGCCGGGGGGAGGGCGGCGAGCCCCGGCCGTGGCCCCGCTCTCCCCGGCGGCCGGAGCCGGAGCACCACGCCGCCCCCCTCCAGGTGCCGCCCCCCTCCAGGTGCCGCCCCAAGCACAAGCTTGGTGGGCTGGTGCCTGGAGCCGGCCCTGGTGGTGACCTCACTAGGCCAGGCGATGCTAACTGAGGAGAGGCAGGGCAGGGGCAAACCAAGCCACTGGGCCAGGCGATGCTGAGGAGAGGCAGGGCAAACCAAGACAAAAGGGATAATTTTAACTATTTAGAACTTTATAAGGCAGAACCCCCAAATTGTACCAGGAGCACAAATGATATAGACCAGGGGTAGGCAACCTATGGCACGTGTGCCGAAGGCGGCACGCAAGCTGATTTTCAGTGGCACTCACGCTGCCTGGGTCCTGGCCACCAGTCCGGGGGGCTCTGCATTTTAATTTAATTTTAAATGAAGCTTTTTAAACATTTTAAAAACCTTATTTACTTGACATACAACAATAGTTTAGTTATATACACCTCTACCCTGATATAACGCGACTCGATATAACACGAATTCGGATATAAAGCAGTGCTCCAGAGGGGCAAGGCTGCGCACTCCAGTGGATCAAAGCAAGTTCGATATAACGCGGTTTCACCTATAATGCGGTAAGATTTTTTGGCTCCCGAGGACAGCGTTATATCGAGGTAGAGGTGTACTATAGATTTATAGAAAGAGACCTTCTAAAAATGTTAAAATGTATTACCTGCACGCAAAACCTTAAATGAGAGTGAATAAATGAAGACTCGGCACAACACTTCTGAAAGGTTGCCGACCCCTGATATAGATTATTATCAAAGACTCACTACTTATAATAATAAACTACAGATTACCAACTCATACACCTTGTGAGCGTGTAGCTGCTGTGCAGTTAATGCCAGCAGAACAAGAGATTACTCTGCATATAGTGTGCCACATCAGAGAAGAATAAATTTTTCCTCGCCTTGGCGGTAAGTCCAGCTCCCCTCTTGCTGTCCTGTTCTTTGCTTCTCTTCCCCTTGAAGTGCTCCTTAGATTCACTGTTCCTGTGGCTGTACCTCTTTTCACCAAGTTTATCCACCTTGTGGGCCCTCACTTGTCATTAGGCAACTTTGCACTGTATTCCATCAATAGATGTTCAGACAGTCCCTCTCTCTGGTCATGTACGTTAGGTTCTTTGTGAGTGGGCTTCTTGGTTATCATTTCCAGGATCTGTTTGCAGGATGTGTGATTGCGGAGCCATTGGCCATCATCTTTGAAAACTCATGGCGATCGGGGGAGGTCCCGGATGATTGGAAAAAGACTAATGTAGTGCCCATCTTTAAAAAAGGGAAGAAGGAGGATCCGGGAAACTACAGGCCAGTCAGCTTCACCTCAGTCCCTGGAAAAATCATGGAGCAGGTCCTCAAGGAATCCATTATGAAACACTTAGAGGAGAGGAAAGTGATCAGGAACAGTCAGCATGGATTCACCAAGGGGAAGTCGTGCCTGACTAATCTAATTGCCTTCTATGATGAGATAACTGGCTCTGTGGATGAGGGGAAAGCAGTGGATGTGTTATTCCTTGACTTTAGCAAAGCTTTTGATACGGTCTCCCACAGTATTCTTGCCGCCAAGTTAAAGAAGTATGGGCTGGATTAATGGACTGTAAGGTGCATAGAAAGCTGGCTAGGTCGTCGGGCTCAACGGGTAGTGATCAATGGCTCCATGTCTAGTTGGCAGCCGGTTTCAAGCGACGTGCCCCAAGGGTCGGTCCTGGGGCTGGTTTTGTTTAATATCTTTATTAATGATCTGGAGGATGGTGTGGACTGCACTCTCAGCAAGTTTGCAGATGACACTAAACTGGGAAGCGTGGTACATACACTGGAGGGTAGGGATCGGATACAGAGGGATCTAGACAAATTAGAGGATTGGGCCAAAAAAAACTTGATGAGGTTCAACAAGGACAAGGGCAGAGTCCTGCACTTAGGACAGAAGAATCCTATGCACTGTTACAGACTAGGAACCGAATTGCTAGGTAGCAGTTCTGCAGAAAAGGACCTAGGGGTCACAGTGGACGAGAAGCTGGATATGAGTTAACAGTGTGCTCTTGTTCTCAAGAAGGCTAATGGCATTTTGGGCTGTATAAGTAGGGGCATTGCCAGCAGATCGAGGAACGTGATCGTTCCCCTCTATTCGACGTTGGTGAGGCCTCATCTGGAATACTGTGTCCAGTTTTGGGCCCCACACTACAAGAAGGAT